ACAGAGACAGAGAGAGACAGGAGACAGAAACAGGGAGAGAGAGAAAGAAAGAGAGAAAGAGAGGAAGGCACAGGGGGCCTGGGTCAGGCCTGCCCCCCTCCCCCCCCCCCCCCCCCCCCCCCCCCCCCCCCCCCCCCCCCCCCCCCCCGCGGGTCGCCGTGACCACCTGACAGGGGTAGGGAGGAACGGACATGGGCCCACAGCTCCCAGGCAGGTGGGCTTTGGTGCTCTCCTGGATAGCATAGTCATTACCCACAAGCCAAGACACAAGGTGCTAAGTCTAAGCTGACCTTCCTCTCTTTTTCTAAAAAAGTTAAGAAAGTAACGGGGGACATGTACAGTTTTAGCCAAAATTAAGAATGACAACAGAACTCGACAGTCTCTATCGTCTGTGGTTCCATATGTCTGGATTTATATATCCTTAGGTAACTTACCAGGATTGGGGCTGGAGATCCATCTATTTTGTCTGTCTGTCTATCTATCTATTTATCTATCTACTACCTATCCATCCATCCATCCATCCATCTATCTAATAGGTCTATCCATAGATAGATGACGTATCATATTATATATTATCTATATATCATATAGCTATATATACATATATGAATATCTTCTATCTATGGGCAGAAATCATCTGTCTATACATCTAGCTGTCTATACAACATGCATATATTATCTCTATATACATATTTATCTATATCTGTGGACAGATCACTTTTCCCATTATCTATCGTCATAGATAGTTTGATAGAGCTGTCACAGAGCTCTTTTCCAACATGTTTCAGGAATGATATGCTTGCTCGTCAGGACCGTGATTGGTGTTTGGGCCTGTGAACCTGACCAATTCTTAGACCATCTCCCCTAGTCTTCAAAGAAAACTTATACCTGCAATCACCAACACAGTAACTAGACACCAAAAGGTTCATTTTAAAGTCACTTCATTAGTATTTTTGATAGATCCAAAGAAAGATAAGTTTTTTTTTGTCAGTTGCAAGGCTTGAACTCTGAGCGTAGGTGCTGTCTCTGAGTTTTCTATTCAAAATCAGTGCTCTACTTACTATTATTTTTAATGGAGAAAAGTACAGAAGCAGAAAAAGGGTCAAAACTAGACAGAGAAATAGGAAATAGGTAAAATATTGATTTTTAAGTTCTTGATAATTCTTCAATCTCAGGTAAATTAAATTATCCTTTGTGAATGATGGTTTGGCCAAAGTTTTACTATAGAAAGAAATAAATGTTTATAATCTGAAGTTTTCTTAATAATGCTTCAACTATAAATAATCTGAAATAAAGACATGTTGTATGTGGCTTACGTAATTCTTGCCTGCTTACAAATATCATCCGCAGGGAAGAATAACCAATAGGATTTGTAAGTGAATTCCTTTTTGTCTTCAATTTTTCAGCACACAGGTGGATCACCAGTGACGTTAAATGAAAGGTCAAACGAGGTTTGAGTCTTGTGAAAGTCAAACATACTTAGGAACACAGTGTTTCCCTCACTGACCAATGGCTAAGGGAAGTTGAAAGGTAAACCGATGGTTTAAAAGTTGTGAGTTGAGTTGTGAAAGGTTGCAAAGCTGTGAATTATTTTATCCTACTTTGGAAATTAGCTAACATTCCATCTTGAGTTCATAAACTGTATGAAGTGGAATTTACTCAGCTCTTTGCACAGATTCAGAATAAGCCTTTCTCTGCAAAGGTAATCACTCCTGCCTAGGACAACAGAAAAAAGTGTAGTCAGTTTCTGACTGCTGTTGACTTCATTCCTGGATTGAAATGGACCAAAAACTGTTCTGTTGCAGTCCATGTGAATTCACTTTTACATGTGCCTTTGTCTACTGTGGGAAGGACGAATTGTCCCAACTCTTCTGATCTAATCTGTTTTCTGAAACAGCCCCATCCTGAGTGCAAAAGATCAGTAGGCCCCAGCAGGTGGAGCCCAAAACATGTGCAGTCCCCTAGCAAGCCGATACGCCAATATTCACAGGGACAGGCTTTGTGTCTCTGAAACAGTAGAATTTACATTCTCTTCACTCAAGGATATAGAGGTTCTAGATTGAAGCTGAGTTATAAAAGAAAACACATATCTTTTAAACTATTTACAGTTCTATTCTGAATTCTAAAACATTCACAGGTTGTTAGGTAGCAAACATTTTGTAGCCCTCCAGGTTTTCTGGGTTAATATTTAAACAAATGTACACTGAAAGAATATTCTCCAATGACCCAATGTTCTCAGTATACAAGGTTACCTAGTTACTCTAATCAGTAAGGGAATGAAAGGATAGCTTTGAAAAACCTATCAGAATCTTTAAACAACCTTACAAAATGCTCTGCTGGACTATCAGAGTGATAACCAGAGTAGGGTTAATAGACCAAATCTTTAGCTTTGTTTCAGGAGAAATTTTACTCAATGAAGTACAGAAAGGTTGTCTTGATTTACAACTTCAGAATTTGTATTTTATAAATATGTCAACTTGTTACATTGAGTTTTATAGAACACTTGATTTTAAGTGAAATTAGACATCTCTATCAATAGCTAACTTTACCTATCCCCCCCTTCTCCCTCCAGCACCCACCCCACTTCCTTCACTTGTCAGTAAAACCTTCAAGCCAGGTGTTCTGGAACATTCAATAACAACCACACATGGTCTTAAAGCACTGAAACAGGACCAGACCAACTGGATTGTCTCTGAGTATCTCCCATTGCCCTAATTGCTAGGTACCTTACTACTTCTAGAACTTTCCAAGATTCAGGAAAGGTTATTGCTGGACATAACAGGAGAGTATAATTTGCATTGATCTCTGTAATTTGCACTGAGATGGATTCAATAGTCTCTTGGTTGACACTATTTTGCATTAAACATATACTCTATGCAGATGATTTTTGTTTGTGTTAAAGTTATTCTTTTTCCCATATAATTCCCTTTGTCCTTGGCATTAATTTCAGACCACAGAATTATGAATGCATGGGTTCTGGATGTGTGTGTATGAGTGTGTGTGTGTGTGCATGGTCTTTTTTGCAGAACTCAATGATCTCACAAGCATTCATTGACCCAGATGTTTTCTTCTACCACAAATGCATCTCAAAGCACAAACACAGTTCAAGTACCTCCAGTTTGTCAGTCCTGAGAAGTTTCTGAGTTGCAGTTGAGCCCGGGACAGTGACGGGTGGACTTCCGGGAACGATGACAGGTGTGGTGGGCAGAATTTCTGTTGGGACCAACCCAACTCCAGGGGTGACAGGTGCTAAGTAAGGAGCAAAGCTAATAGCCGTATTGGTCCCTATGGTGGGACCTACAGGAAAAGTGGGCTGTTAAAGGAAGACAACACAGGAAACAGATTCAATAGAATAACACTTACAAAATATTACCAGCAAGTATTATAACAAAATATTACCAGCAAGTATTATAATTTGAGCAAAAAAAAAGAAAGCTGTTAGCAAGTGTCATTTGAGCAAAATTTATTTATCACATATGATACTCTGTGTGAGCAGCAGAATCCAGAATCCAGGATGGCATTGTAAAAATTCATTAAAAATCACTTCCTTTTGGTTTTACTTAAGAAAACTGAAAAACACAGAGTCTCTCTTTCCCAAACAACACAAAAATATAGGAGAATATCAGAGACACCAACTTAGAAGGGACCAGTTAAATTTATGTTGTCAGGAAAGAAAATAATTTCCACTCTAAGTACTCATCCTTCCAAACAATTTTATGTTTTCACAAAAGATCTTTGGGATCCAGAGTTTTATTTCTCCTACAGATCTCTCAAAGGGAGAAAAAGAAACAAAATCCTTGTTTTACAGGTAAGCACGTTTACCCAGTTTAAAAAAAAGTGGAGCTCTTGTGGGATTTCACTGAGTTCAGACTTACCAGTATATTTCATCTTCCATTTGGAATATTTCCAAAATTCAGGTGCAGCTTTAGACCAGTATACCTACAGTTTGCTGTAGCTCAACCATGCCTTAATTCAAACTTCCCTTCTTGAAAGGTTGGGTGAAAGAACTTGAAATCCTGCACAATATCTCCACTGACTATTAAAAATGGGCTTGCCTTCCTAGGTCACAAAATCAACAAAGCAGTGACAAGAGCAGATAGTGCTTACTAAATACAGTCTCAGGACTGGGGCTATGGCTCAAGTGGTGGAACTTGCCTAGTTGTCTGAGCTTTAATCCCCCAGTACCACAAAAGAAGAAGAAGAGTTGAACAGTAATCCCTTTGTACAACTACTTTAAAGATAATAAAGGCATAATTAAAAAGATAAAAGATCAGAGAGTGACTAGTAATCACAGCTACCTTGGAGGTTCATGGTTCAAGGCCAGCCTAAGCAAAAAAAGAAAAAACAAAAAGAAAAAAAGCCAGATGAGGCACACTTGGAATTATCAAGTCTAGTCCCAGGCAAAGGTGTGAGATATTATCTGAAAAATAAATAAACCACCATTTGGCTCAACTCTCAAATGGTAGAGGTATGAATTCAAACCGAATACTGACAAAAAAATAAAATTCCCTGAACAAAAATCCAAAACTAAAACCCCAAATACATTCTTTTATCACTATATACTTTGTCTTGGGATAAGAAGAAATATTCTAGTAGGTCAATAGCATAATCATTTTTTAAAGCTCCACTTACAAATATGTAACTTGTGTGTCTTTCAGAAATTATGAATCTAATTTCTTATTTCTTATTTCAACTTTTTCAAGAGTCACGATTTTAAAAACAATTATGATCCTAAAGACTTTTGTCAGGAGATATTTTACAGTGAATTGGGCCTAAATGCCTCCTGTTTGTTCGGTTGGCTTTTATTTATGAACCTTTTAAACTATTTATTTTTAGGATGAGTTTTCAAATATTTGTGATCATACGTTCATGCAGTTTTCTAACTCTGGGCTACATTGCTTGCTTGTGTCATAGTTGTCTGTACTTATCTATCTTGGGTAACATGATTCTTGTCTATTTACAACAGGGAAGGAGTTGTTTAATATGTGGGGAAAACGACACACTATGTTTTACAAACACATTTTTCAATACAACATTAACAGAAGAGAAAGAGTATTTCTTTTAAACGGCCATGTCAGAAAATAGTAAATAGTTGCTAATTTGTGCCGGGAGTTCCCAGGGAGGCTGGTAAGTCCACTGCGCTGGCTGAGAGCTCAGAGGATATTCAACTGGCCTTAGAAGATCCCCTTCAAGTCCTCCTGTGAGACACTCCTACACCTTCACAGCTCAGCCATAAGTTGGCTTTGGGAGAAAGTCTCAGCCTATGGTCTCAACCTGAGAAATGGATAGCAGTTAGGATTTTCTTCTTTTTTCCCCCTTGACTTGCCACAAAATTTTATATATGTATGTTACCTATTTCAGTCATAATTATAGAAAATTGCAGCTTTTCAGTAACGTTAGCTTTTATAATTTAGTCTTACTGAAAAAAAAACACATGATTTAATAGTATAAGGACTATGTAATGTTTGAGTTAAAAAAATAAATTCAGCTGGGCACCAATGCTTCATACCTGTAATCCTAACTACTCAGGAAACAGAGATCTGAGAATCAGCTCAAAGCCAGCCTGGTTAGGGAAGTGCATGGGACTCTTATCTCCAATAAACTATGAAAAAAGCCAGAAGTGGAACTGTGGCTCAAGTGGTAGAGTGCTAACCACAAGGAAAAACAAACAAACAAACCCCAGGGACAGTGCCCAGGCCTTGAATTTAAGCCCCAGAACTGGCATGCATGCGTGTGTGCGTGTATGTGTGTGTGTGTGTGTGTGCGCGCGCATGTGTGTGTGCACATGCGTGTGCATGCACACACACATACACAAAGTTCAGAAGGGCCATAATTCACAACATATTCATTATTTAGTGGAACAGCCATGTCAAAAATACCTAAGAGGGACTTTCAGAGATGCATTCTTATACAACAAGTCTAGGAGGGAACTTTGATATTCTTAGTAAAAAAAAATTACTGTGTGGAGTAATGTGTGACCAAATTTGACAACCGCTGTTACAAATGAGGAGTGAATTTAGGTATTAAAAATCACATACCTGTATTAAGCAGGTTATTTAAATCAGAGATGAATTACTGAACTAAAAAGCTACAGGAAAGAGCCAATCCTTACATGTCCATTTTAAAAATTTTCTTGCAGGTATACACTCCTAATGCAGCAGGGATTTTAGATTCACGAGTAAGAATAGGTTAAGCCAGCAGATTCTGAAAGGATGTTATATCCAAGATAAACATGTTGACTTCTGCCTTCGGGTCTCAGACTGTAGCTACTCTTCTTCATGACATGAATTTTGTGGATAATTTCTTAGAACCCTTCCCTAAATATATCAGTAGCCTGCATGCTTTTAAAGTGTATACTGAGCTAGGCATAGGTGGCATATACCTATCATCCTAGCTACATAGAAGGCTGAGATCTGAAGATTGCAGTTCCAAGCCAGCTTGGGCAGGGAAGTTCATGAGACCCTTATCCACCAAAAAGCTGGAAATGAGGCTGTGGCTCAAGTGGTAGAGTGCTAGATTTGAGTGAAAAAGCTAAAGGACAGTGCCAACGCTTTTGAATTTTAAAAAAATTAAAGAAAAAAGTATATTGAAAAACCATATTCCATAACCAGCTTGAGCCTTCTATATAGGTATGCAATGTGGACAGTTCTGGCAGCCATGTGCTGCTTATTGGAAAAAGTGGCTCTTGGATCCTGGATTAAAATGAATCTACTGAGAGAGAGAGCGTCTGGGCCCACAGCATATGCTGGTATACGTGGAGCCTCCTCAGTTGCAGCAACTGAGGAACGACAAGGCCCCTGCAGAGGACTTCCTTCTTGGAAGCACCCGCAGCAGTCAGGAGGATGAGGCTGCAGTTTGTGCAGAGTGCAGCTACCAAGTGAGGAGAGACAGCAATCATCTGGTGCCTGTCCTCTCTCGGTGCTCACTCACAGGCTGAAGAGGCCAGAGGACAAAACTCTTGAAGAAAATCACTTCAGAAATGCTGGTCCTGCTCCTGCCTCATGCTGTCCTTCAGAACACATTCCTCTGCTTCTCTCCCCAGGACCCCATGCTCTTCCCTCAGTACCTTATATCTGCAGGTCTGGGGACACCAGAACTGGGCAGGGACCAGCACGGAGAAGACACTGTGGGTGACAGTTGAGCTTAGGGGTTTAGGTTTTGTTCCAGTGGGCAAGGAGCAAACCAGTAAAAGGGCCTTAAGTAATGGGTAATGGAGTCTTACTGATGTTTTAAAAAGACTCCTCTGGTTGATGTATGTAAGGAGATACTGGGGTCAGATGAGAGCAGAAAGCAAGATATTAGAAAAGAGATGCTTATAAAGTTGTTTGGGGAAAAAACAACAGCAACCTGGAGATGGTTCACAGGAATGTGCTTGCTAGCAAGGGGAGAAGCGGATGGCTTAGAACACAGGTGTGCGGGCTTGCTAATGAATTTTCTGTCTCAGAGTGTGGGCAAGTCTGCTAGGTTTTTGTTGGAGACTGTGGGTTGAGGATACTGTTTACTGAAATGGGAATGTAGTGAAACGTGGACTTGGGTTTTGAACACATCCACTTTTTGTATGAAATTTAAAGGTAAGTTCAGGAGGAAATGGCATCTATGATTCCAGGGCTCAGAACACAAGTTTGGACTGGAAATATACATTTGTGGGAAGAGTAGGCAGGGCTTCTCAGCCCATTAGGCCACCAATAAGAGGGTAAACAAGAAGAAATATTCAGTCTGGGAATCAGAGATGAATGAAAGAGATAGAGAAGGAAGCAGGCAGAGAGGCAGTTTCTCCTGTTAAACAGGAGAAAGCTCTGACACGTGCTGGGGACCACCAAGAGGTCTGATAGAATGTGCTCATTAATCCAGGCTGTGATGGGGGGAAAATGCCATAAACTCTATAGCTTTTAAACCAACTGAAATGCATACATTACAGTTGTAAAGGCTGCTGGGAAATCTAAGATGAAGGAAGGCCTGGGCAGAGTAAATGTGCAGTGAAGGCTGAGTCCCTGGCTCCTATGATGTCTCTCTCTGGCTGTGTCTTCTCTTCTTCTAAAGGTGCTAATCGCATTTATGAGGAATCCATCCTCCTGACCCCATTTGCCTTGTAAAGGCCTCTCCTTCACTTCTCATATTATCACTGTCAGGTTGGACTTCAACATAAGACACAAACATTCAGAGCACAGCCAGCAGTTGAGTTGCATAGAGGACTAGGGGGAAAGATGCTAGCAGATGAGTTTAGGAGTCCGTGGAAGGAATGGGAGAAATACCCTTAGTGCTTTAAAGAAGATGACCTCATACTCCCTGTGTGTCAATGAAATTGATTTAAGTAATTTCTGCATTTATAACTTGCTTGTGACTGCCATTAAGAAAATGACCATAAATGTGATGGCTGAGAACAAGTGAAGTTATTCTTCTGTAGTTCTGGAGGCCAGAAGTCTAAAATCAGTTTTGTTGGGTCCAAATCAAAGTGTTAACAGATCTTGCTCACTCTGGAAGCTCTATGGTAGAATCTGCCATTCCAGTCTCCTCTGTCTTCAGGTAGCTGCTGATTTTCTCTGGCTGTGTCTACATCCCTCCTGTCTCTAGCTCTATGAACACATTAAGTTTTTCCTCTTCTGCCTGTGTCAAATCCCCTCTGTCTCTCTCTTCTGAAGAGACTTGTAATTACACTTTCAGCCAGCAGGATCTCACCATCCAAGATGCTACATCTTATCTGCCAAGACCCTGTTTTTGTAAGAGGTGACTTCCTGTGGGGTCCAGGCACCTCTGAGCATCGGTCAACTATTTTGTTCTAGAACACTAATTCACTTCTGAAACTCTGAAATGATTTGTTGTTAGACTTAATTGCTTTTTGACTTGTCGCACTTCGTATTTGAATACTTCTTGTGACTTTAAAAAAAAACAACTCTCCTGGACTACTAACACACAGCATTCCCTTTTCATAGAGAAATTGTCATTAACTCCTAATTAATATTTGGGGCCTATACATAAACCAGCTTTCAAAACAAGTTCAATCAAGAGTTGATGGAATTTTCACGTTAACACTGTCCTCATCTCATACCAGGGTCAATTCTGACTAATTCTAAATAAACCGGAAGTACAGTATTCAAACAGGTGAGATGCATAGTGTTGAGCTTGCTCTGAATTGATTTCCATACATGTTGCTTAGTATATACAAGGACATTCGTTTAGCATTTTTGGAAATTAATAAAAGGCTTTATTAGGTGCGCATCAAAAAGAATTATAAATTATGCGTGTGTGTAGTTTTAAGTAGAAGTACTTGAATGCCTAGTTTAAATGTGTTCAGAAGACTAATCTAACTTCAGTAAGTCTGAACACCTGGGCTAGCTCTTAATACTTGTCTAGGATGCATTTATTTGAGACTACCTTCCTTCAGGTTACCTTTCTTCATCCAAGCTCATCCTCTGGGCCTGACTTGGCCTTTCCATGTATCTGTCTCTCCTCAAAGGCTGTGTCTGACTTACCTCAGAGTTCCCTGCCCCCAGCCTTTTTCACTCTGGGAAGAGCTGGCTCCTGGCTACTTTGCGCAGAGTTCTGGAGACATGCAGAATTGCTAACAACCTGCTCTCTCTCTTCTTGGCCACCCCTACGCTCTCCCCAGTCCATCTCACAAGGACATAATAAGAAAATGGAACTCACTGGTAGCTATCTGTTTTAATTTAACAGCTTTCAGTCACATAGATTTTCCTACAATGAAGGCTGATTTTTCTACAATAGCCTTTTGTGCTTGTATTTTTTTTAAAGCAAATTCGTTCCCTTGACTTGATTTTTTTTTAGCTTGTTTTTGTGCAAATAATTCACCAATGTAAGTGAAACCCACTAAAGTCAAATGCACGCCTTCCCTCGGGGCTTCATTCTTAAAGCAATTTCTAGACCTTGAAGGAAGTACCCTCAAACACTGAAATCAGGGAGAAAAATATTACCCAATATCATATACTTAAACTCCCTTGGGCATTTATTCTGTGGTCTTTGTCATGGCTGCTATTCCTTTTCCAGACCTGGGAGAGAGACAGGCGCCATCTTACCCAGCTGTTGTCTGGCCTAGGAGAACAGGGAGAATCTATCTCCCCAGCTCCTGGGTAAGTTCAAGGCCCTGCAACACAACTTGAGCTGTGTGATATTGGAGAGCTCAGTCACCTCCTCTGGTTTCTCATGTTCTCCATCCTAAAAATGATACCATCGAATTTGGTGCTACACTGCTGGACAGTTGAGGCGTCACCACCTCTTCAATCCATAGCCTATCAAGCCACGCTCCGAATAAAATGGTGGAGCCATTTCCATTCTAAGATGGCTCAGAGGCCGAGTTTACTGATGAGAAAGGCTGCTTTCCGAGATATTGATTTAAGATTGTCTTTGCTCCTTATTCCCACACACACCATCTTTCCATTTAATTTTTTTAAAGCTCTTTTTCAGTATCTACGGAGCATCAAAGCTCTTTACTGTAAGCAAAATGACAAAGTCCAGGGAGGCTGTCTTAGGTTATGGAGGCAATGTCTGTCCCAATGCGTCATGCAGCGGGCCACCATTAGGGAAGACGAACTCACCACAGGATGAAGCGGAGTTCCTGGAAACATAAATTGCATCTGCTGGGCGAGCATCGCAGCTGCAGTTTTTTGCTGGATCAAGTTGTTCCTCCCATTAATTTCTAGTTGAGTTTTTAAGTGTGTCGGCGGGTGAAGATACTTGCAGTTCTCTCTTGAACAACGGCCCTGTAAGATAAGACATTTGGGGTGTGGAATTGTTAGAAGTAACTTGTGACAATCGCATTGTCCATTTTACAACTTCTCTTTATCTATGAAGGAAAAAGATTGTGTGTGTGTGTGCACATGTGTGCATGCGTGCATGCATGTATATGTGTGTGTGTGTGTGTGTTGGGGAGGAATGAATTAATACTATAAAATATCAAGGTTGGCTTGACTCTGTTAAGCAGAGAACATTCATACAGGCTTTCTTTCTTCCTCAATCCTCTCTCCTTCCCTCTCGCCCACCCTCCCACTCTCTTCCCTCCTTCCCTCTCTCTCTCCCTTCCTCAGCCCCTCCCTCCTTCCCTCCCTCCTTCCCTTCCTTCCTTCCTTCCTCCCTCCCTCCCTTCCTTCCTTCCTTCCTTCCTTCCTTCCTTCCTTCCTTCCTTCCTTCCTTCCTTCCTTCCTTCCTTCCTTCCTTCCTTCCTTCCTTCCTTCCTTCCTTCCTTCCTTCTTTCCTTTTCCTTTCCCCTCTCTCCAACTCCTTCTTTCCTTTTTTCCTTCCTCCCCTCCTTCTATCTTTCTTTTTCTTTTCGTATTATGCCAGTACTAGGGTTGGATTTCTGGCTTGGGCACTGTCCCTTAGCTTTTCTGCTCAAGGCCGGCCCTCTACCACTTGATCCACAGCTCCACTTCCAAGAGTCTCACAGACATTACTGCCCAGCTGGCTTTGAATGACAACCACAAAGCTCAGCCTCTTGAGTAGCTAAGATTATAGGCATACAGGATTACACCAACACCTGGCTTTTCTATCTTTCTTTATTCTAAATCCTAGCACTAGATTCCAAAGACACATGGACTATGAAGAGTCAAAAGAAAGGTACTTCTTTTGGGTAGGATGGGAGGCCACCAGAAAGGCATGCATATGATGGCCTATGAAAAGGAGTCTTTGAACTTGCTCTGCACTGGTTTATGCATGTTAGAGTAACGCTATACTGACTGTGGCACCCATGTGCAGTGGAGATGGGAGGAGGGGTTAAAGTATGCGTTCCAGATTAGCTCATGATATCAGTTTCCGCTTACTGGCACTGAGGTAATGAAAACAGTTAAGTGGAATTTTTGAGTGTCACCTGCCGAGGGGGAGGATGTCAGGTGTAAACGCAGATGAGTGCTGCAACCAAGTATGAGTGCTTTGTTCCTCAGGAGCAGCCAGCCCAGACCTCACTTACCCCAGGACAGGAATCACCCTCCTCAAGTCACGAGGTGATAGACGGAACATCTGGAGGCTGATACTAGCCAACCCCCAACCCTCTCCTTCCAAAAAAATTAAGTGGCAGGTATGTATACAGCCAGACTGGAAAACAAATTGCATATGGTGGTATTGCTATTTAATTTCCAAGTTTTCAAAACTACCAATTGTGTAAATCATGTCGCTATGTGAATTATGCAATTTTGGGGGAGGAAAAAAAAAACCAGCCAAGTTGTTATCCAGTTTGAGTATTATCATTCCCTAAAGAATTAGTCCATTTGCAACTAGGAAAAGAGAATAGGAGTTTGTTTACCAGATACAAAAATGATTTTTCAAAGCCAGCTTAGTGGATCTATGGGAATGAATTTGTTTACAGTCAGGCTAATTCTCAACATCTGGTGCTCTCGCTCTGCCTCTCATTAATTCCGGCGGCACTTTTGGCAGGCTCAAGCTTCTTCTCTGCAGTGCGGCTTTTCCCTCACTACCAGGAGAAGTGCCGACATGGGTCCTGGGCTCAGCGCTGATGGCCTCTGCCCTCAACTCCTGCTGTCCAGAGGGGCCACTCTTAGTGCCATTGCCATTTGTGTCACCCTCTTGCACAGTGAGGAAATAGAGGACATTGGGGGAAGTGGAGTGTAAGGAGAAGCCAGTGCAATGGGCAATGCCAGTCTCTGTCCTTAGCCTCCAGTTCACTCAAGAGGCTTCAGATAGACAACACAGGCCAGTAAAGATGCAGGTAAGATGGAGCTGCAGCTGTAAATTCATCTCATTGAAATGGTCTAGGAATCTCTCCTCTCTCAGCAAATATGCTGGGTTTTGTGTGGATTTTTTGTTTGTTTTTTGTCAGTCATGGGGCTTGAATTCTGGGCCTGGGCTCTGTCCCTCGGCTCTTCAGCTCACTTTCTGGTTTTCTGGTTTATTGGAGATAAGAGTCTCACAGAATTTCTTGCCTGGGCTGGCTTTGAACTGAGATCCTCAGATCTCAGTCTCCTGAGTAGCTAGGATTACAGGTATGAGCCACCTGCACCCAGCTTTGTGTGGATTTAAAAACAAAATTCTTTTACTTGTTGCTTGTGACTTCTCAGGTCCCTCTGGCCTTATCTGCTTGCTTCAGGCCTCTTTGAATTTACTTCTCCCTCCCCTTTTTTGACAATTGCCTTGACCACTCAGCGACAATCAGATCTCCAGGACAGCATTCAGATGGGGCCAGCTCTTCCAACACAACATGAGCATGACCACTCAAGAGCAGGCTGTCCATGTGTCACATGACTAAATGCAATGTGTCACTTATGAAAGGAGAAGGTCAGGGGACTGAGATATACCCACCATCTGTCTGTCTGTCTGTCTGTGTGCCTATTATCTATTTATCTATGTATTTTTGGTGCTGTTGGGATTTGAATTGAGTCTTATGCTTGTAAGACAGGTGGTCTTATCACTGAGCCAAGCTGGTGGCAAGCATTTCTTGTATGGAAACTAAGTCACTTTCTAGGATCCTCTGAAAACTTCAATCTGAATTCTCTTTAGATATAAATACTGTACCTGGCAGCTGATTCCCCAGCGCTTATGAAGTTTACCTTGGGTTTGTGCACACAAATATGCTGGAGAGACTCAAGGGGAAAGTCACAATTCTGGGATTATAGGTTCTAGGCTCATAGTTTTTGCCTCCATTCTTCACTGCCCATATGACTTTGAGTGATGATTTGAATTTCTCTCCACTTCAAAAATGAAAATAATTATGGTGTCTTCCTCTCAGAACTGTTACAAAAACAAATGTACTAACACACTTGTGAAGCTTAGAAATAACTGAGTAAATGTTATTGGCATCAAAGAAAGAAAGAAAAATCTTTGTGTAGGCTATTTTATTTCCAAGAAGTGTGAAATCATCAATTTAGTAGTATTTCTTTTTTTTGGTCGGTCATGGGGCTTGAACTTTGGGCTTGGGCACTGTCCCTCAGCTCTTCAGTTCAAGGTGAGTGCTCTACTGCTTGAGCCACAGTGCCACTTCAGTTTTCAAGTGGTTTATTGGAGATAAGAGTCTCACAGACTTTCCTGTCTCGGCAATCCTCATATCTCAGCCTCCTGAGTAGCTAGGATTACAGGCATGAGCCACTAGCACCTGGCAATTTAGTAGTATTTTGACTGGCTCTTTGGTTTTATAAACTTGCACATCAGCACATGACAAAAGGCTATTCAATGATGCTTAATCAAATATCTGATGTTTCGAGTTAAGTTTTTTTGTTTGTTTTTTTTTTTTTGGTCGGCCATGGGTTTGGGTCTGGGCGCTGTCCCTCAGCTCTTCAGCTCAAGGCGAGCCCTCTACTACTTGAACCACAGAGCTACTTCCAGCTTTTTCTGCTTATGTGGTGCTGAGGAATCAAACCCAGGGCCTCATGCATGCAAGGCAAGCACTCTACCACTGAGCCACATTCCTAGCCCCTCAAGTTAAGTTTTAATGCTATGAGGTGTCTTACAATTATTCACATATAAGGTTGTATTCTTGAACTCTAGTTCAGTCTTGTGTTGGTATGTCTGAAGACTGGTCCATGGGTATCTGATGTCTGAGGCCTGCAAATTCAAGTACAAAGAGCTCTTGGAAACTCAATTTTAGTAGGAGTTCCAATAAGATTCTACAGTCTTAAAGGAAATGCTACTGTCAAAATATAATGAGCTATCTGACATAGTAAACAATTTGTAAGGAGGTGTTTGTTAAGGCATACAATTTCTCAGGACATGCATCAGTGCACAAAAACTGTTGATTATCAAAGTAAATTGTCATAACCAAATGACAGGGGGCCAGGAACAGAAGTGTAAAGCATCTTTGTTTATCATTGGGGAAACAAAACAAGGGGTGTCAGAAATTGTATCTCCTGAGTTTAGTCTAAAAAATAAAGACAGAATTGTCTCGGGAAGAAAAAAAAATCTTCCTTGTGGCTGCTAGTGTTTATTTCCGGTTTTTGTTTTTCACGCTTCCTCCCTTCTGCTTCTGGGTGAAGCACTGTTTCCCAAGAGCTAAGGAAACAGGTTTCAGTCCAGGGAAAGCTGAGCAGGGTGGAGGTGGGAGGGCACTGTGTCAGTGTTTGTGGAAAGTCTCGTGACAACTGGATGCAGGGGCCCAGAATAAAGCCAATGAGATCAGCTCACACCAAGCACTAATTTGGAATGGGTAGTTCATGGGTCACATGAGCTCTGAAGTTCCACCACAAATGGGACCTGCCAGGTGGTGAAATGGCAGATGGCTGTACACTTTCAGGCTAGATCTCTTTCATCATTCATTCATTCATTCTTCATTCAGCAAGTATTTCCTGCTCAGTGTAAATTAAGCAGAAGTGAACAAAAAAAAATAAGACACAGCGCCTCCTGGAGTGGAATCTCCAGGCTAATGGGCAAGATGGATGTTAAACCAAATCAAGCCACAGAGGAATATCTGAGTTTTAAATTATAGTACGTACTCTGAAGAGGATGTGGAGGAACAATAGTGGGAGTGGGTTGACACTGACATCTGTGGGTGGGAGATGCATAGGAACAAGGCAAGGAAATGGTGGCCAAAGCGCGTGTATGTGTGAATGTGAGCTTCTGTGTCTGGGTCCATGTGCACATGCAGGGCATGGAGGATGTATGTGTTATGCATGTTGTCTGTGTTGCTTGTGTTGTGTCTGGCATACGTGTGGTATAAGTGTGTGTATGCATGCTTTGCGTATGTGTGAGTGAGTATTGGTGTGCACTGGAGAGGAATAAAAAATGAGAACATTTAGAGGAGGAGGGTATGCTAGGAAATGTC